GGAGTGCGTCATAGAATCGAAGAAACACGAGACATGTCTTCACAGACTTATGCGCAAAACATTTTGTGGTACTTCTTTGCTATAGCATCCCCCAACCATATTTGCTGATTTTAGATTTGTGCCAAGATCTCAGCTATACACTGGTGTGCAAAAATTAAGGACGAAGTCGAAATATTAGCATATCAGCTGAACGAAGAGGCAGAGCGGACAGAAAGACCAATCAGGAGATTAAGTAAGGTGATGTACGGGTAGCACATGCGCAGATATGCAGGTAGACGTAATGGGGGGAGTGTCTGAGTAGTATAATTCATGTTGTCGGTGTAAGATCAGTATTTCTGGCAAAGAGATTGCACGCCGTATAGCAGTTAAAATCACACCGAGTTGCTGCCTCAGGGAGAAATGGCGAATAAACAATCTGTTACAAGACATCTGGATGCTTTTACCCGAGGTCGAATCATTGGGAAGTTGGAGGAAGGCCGCAGTGTGACAAGTGTGGCTGCAGAGTTCGGAATTGCTCACAGCATCGTTTCACGACTTTGGAGACAATTTCAAACTACAGGAACAGCTATCCGGGGGTTTAGTAGTGGTTGTCCACGAGGAACCACACCCGCAGATGACCAGTATATGCCTTACAGGCCAGAAGAAACAGGCGACAGACAGCGGGAGAACGCTAGACACACGACACAGGCGACTGGACGACCGATATCGCGTTTTACCGTAGCCAGAAGACTGCACGGTGGTGGTCTGTTTGCACGACGCCCTGTACGGTGTGTACCTCTAATGCCTGCCCATCGGAGAAGGGCGTTCTCTGTGGTGCCGGGAACACCGGAATTGAAGAGACAATGAATGGGGACGAGTACTCTTTACAGATGAGAGCAGATTCAGTCTGAGTAGCGATTCTCATCCCATACTCATCTGGAGAGAGCGGGGAAGCCGCAATCATCCCTCGAACATCATTGAAAGGGACAGGTATGGAGATGGCGGTGTTCTCGTTTGGGGAGGCATCATGCTTGGTAGTCGTACAGATCTTCACATCTTCGACGCAGGTTCAGTCAACGGGACCCGTTATTGTAACGAGATTCTTCTTCCACATGTGCGTCTTTTCAGAGGCGCTATGGGTCCGCAGTTCCTTTTCATGGACGACAATGCACCATGTCATCGCACAGTAGCTGCCGAACAGCTCTTAGAGAGTGAGGATATTGAACGTATGGATTGGCCGGCACGATCTCCGGATCTCAATCCCATCGAGTATGTATGGGATTTTCTAGGCAGACGCTTGGCAGCTCGTACCTTACCACCAGTAACGATTCCGGAGCTTCGATTGGCGCTGCAAGACGAATGGGCAGCAATGCCTCAACAACTCATTTACACCCTCATTCTCAGCATGGGCAGACGCTGTGAAACCTGCCTAGCAGTCAGGGGAGATCATATTCCCTATTAAAGACCGGATGTTTCTTGCTGGACACCCATCACAGGGATGTTTCGGCCTTCAGTCGCATTGCGCTCCATGCTACTTTTTCAATAAAGCTTCTTTTTATCCCTCTGATTTCTCTTTTAGTAAGTGTTGCTTACATTACTCATGTCCTTACGTATTGGGGATCTTACGGTATTAAATGTGTTGATTTGGAAAGCTTTTGTACAAAGTTATATTGAAAAAAACCGTCTCGTCCTTAATTTTTGCACACCAGTGTAATTTCATCGAGCTCGTGAAGGGCGAATGTAAAAACAAACAACACACTATATAACAATAATACTGACATATTGTTTCTTAAGAATGCTATTAAGTATCCTTATTCTACTTATTGTTATAATATTCCTAACTACTTCGTCTATGCTGAACGTAGAGGAACCTATTGAACTGTGTAGCGACTTATCCCTTAATTCGATTATATAACGATAAAGTCCAGAGTAGGGTTAAAATACCGTTTTATTCAAAGAAATAATAACAGATGGCCCTTTCTCGGGCTTACAGGAAAGCTACCATTTGGGGTTTAAATCAAGATAAGTAAATAAGACACTAGTCTAATACTAAACTAAACTGACTTCGCCGATGCTAGACACAAAAACCTAACGAGGTTGGCCCTTAATTAAATTAGCCGGTGATTATCAACAAGCACGTACAATACGGCCGTACGTAGTTGGCTTAATAACGAAGGATCCTGACGGCAAACACGCACCACTAAGGACTCCTAAGCTCTTAGTATGATTCACGTAAAAATAACTCGATCATTACCGCTTTCAAAACTTCACAAGCAAAATTGATTGCGGTGGTCCCGTAACCTCATGGCATATGGTGACAAATGGATCTCTGTAATTTTCAGAGATGAAAAAAGATTGGAATCTAGATAGTCCTGTCGGGTATTAATATTACTAGCATGACTTTAGAAAACAACCTCGGAGCTATTTCAGTAGAAGCAGTGGAGGTAGATCTGTTATGATGTGGGCAGCTTTCAGTTTCAACTGGCAAATAGGTTTCCATTTTCCACCTTTCTAAATGGTCGGCAAGATTCTTTTAAATACATGGAAGCACTAAGAGACCATCTTATGCCATTTTCAGATAACATTGGAGGACAGAATTTGGTGTACCAGCATGACAGTGCTTCCATTCATACCTCTAATACAACAAAAAATTAATTAGACAAGGAAAATAGCACTGTTTTTTAATGGACAACCAAGGAGCCCAGATATTAACCCTGTCAAGAAGGTGTGGGGTATTATGTCTCGGAGATTTAAAGAGAATGGAATGCAGTTCTTTTTTTGAATGTCTTAAAAGCAGCCACGGAGAGTGCATGGGTACAGTGTAGAACCAGAGTTATTACGAAACTTGGTTCTCTCGGTGGAGAAATATGTATTCGACGTCATAATAATAGAACGAAGTATTAAGTAATTTGAAATTGATTACAAGTTGTTCAACTGGTAATATTGTATAAACTTTTGGGACTCACATTCTTCTGTTTTTTTATTTTTCATAAAATACAAATTGCTATTTTAGTTGAATATTTACTGGAATGCAAGTCGCATGTGATGTAAATAAACAGATTTTTATTTGGTGTTTGTGTTCTTTTTCATTTTTCTAAAACATGTGATGTAGTTGAGTCTATAAACTTTTGCGAAAGAGTGAACAATCAGGCGGCGAGGTATAAGAATACGCAGTCAGATTTTGGTGAGATATCTCGGTTGATTTGTGATTCAATCTTGGAGGCCGTTATAACAAAGAAGTACTCATTTTTATTTTTCTGTGTTTCTTCCTCTTGTAATATTTGGCTCTTTTGAATCCAATAACTATAGCTTTGGCTTAGAAGTTGTATTGTTTATGTTATATTGAAGCAGCAGTGGCCCGGCGAGGGGGGGGCAAGGTGATGTAAGATGCCTCGGGCGCCGCTCTCAGAGGGGCGAAAGATGGTCTCCAAACAATATTTTCCGGAAAATTTGATGGTCTCCAAACAATATTTTCCGGAAAATTTTAGTTTTTATTTTGATCAGTTTCTTAAAAGTATATGTAAAATTAATAATTATTGTAATGTAATTAATTATTTATTTTCTTGCTTTGTCTGATGAAATGTGTAATAAAATGTTTGCAGTAAGTATATCAACCAAATATCTCCGCATACAAGACGTTCTTTCTCACCACTTTAATTCTCTAAAATAGAGATATTTTTTTACTTTTTTTAAACAAAATGCACGTATAGTTCTCGCTTTTTATTTTAAAACGATAACACGACCTTGTCCAGAATTTCTCAAACATATCCAGTTTCCCAAAACCGAATCAACAGCCTGGAAATGACATTTTGGGAAACTCCTAACGCTTCCTCTAGAACGGACTGCGTTTGACTCTTCTGCAAACGACTGATGGCCTTCCTGACTACCGATTCAACTAAGTAATCTTCTGAGACATCGTATATTCACTGCTACAAAGCATTCAACGTGTGTCAATTGTTTTTAATCTCCTTCTACAAAAGGAATGGGAATGCTGCATGTCACTCCTTATCTAAAACGCATAGTTTTCATCGTCACAGACTAAATTACCATATTCTCAATTTGATAAACGTTATAATTTTCTCTTATATTTCCATATATTCAATCTCTTATATTTCCTTTTGTTAAAAAGGTTGTAGATTATATGGTTATTTACCGAACTCACAATATCCCCTAATTATTTTGAGCAGTGAATGTGACTGCAAGATAACACTGAACCTAAAACTCTATTACAGATCTAAGGAAAAAAAGTTTTTCCAAACGTAAGAGTCGCAGTTCAAAAACTCCTTACTATTTCATTATCAAATTGTAGCTATGAACGTTCGTTCAGCAAATTAAAATAAATTTTGACATTACAATCAACGATGGGACCAAGATCCCTTAAGTCATTTAGCATTTTTAAATGAGGAATGAGAAAAATTCGAAATGATCGACTTTGATGAAGTAATTGATAAATTTGCGTCATTCAAGGCAAGAGTAAAAATGTAAACATAGTAATTAATGTATTATTATATTATTATTAATAAATATATCTACTTAAAATAAGTACCTTTTAAACTAATTCTAGATTATCGTGATTTTTCCACCGACACAGATACATTTCCGAAATAATGCTAGTGTAGTTCGGTAGTGACTATGCTTAATATATTTTAGAGTATTTTATGTCAGATTCAGCATTTGATTATTTTTTTCATTGTTTTCTTATTACGAATATATTCTATACATAATATTACTATAAGTGTTTTTTTTGGGGGGGGAGATGCGCCAGTTATGCACGCTACGCCACTGTGAAACAGTAAAATATTTCTGAACAAGTCTTATACTAAAATAGAAAATTCACATTAGCAGAGGATGCAGATTTTGAATAAATATTTAAATGCTTTTTATACTTAAGTTACATTGTTAATCTGCAGTTATAATGAAAAATGAGTTTCATTGTTTTATTCAGAAGAAACTATTGAATGTTGTATTCAGTATAAACCATAATGCAGTAGTATTTATTTATTGTTACATTTGAATTCCAGGTGAAAAACAATATGAATAGTTACAGCCTAAGTCCCGATGCACCAAAGATTGAAGTACACAGTTTATTCATTGGGTGAGTGGTATTTTCAGCTCTAAATATTTGTTCTAATGTCTTTTCCAATTAGGTTTTAACTCAAAAGATTATGTACGGTAGAAAATAGAATGAATAAATTAGAATGTAAAAGATACACTTCACCAAATTGCAAACTTCAGTAGTGTATTGTTTTTTCATTGTCACACTTCACCAAATTGCAAACTTAGTAGTGTATTGTTTTTTCATTGTCAAAAGTAAAAATAAATTGTGTGGAATATTGATTAATGTACCGTAAATTAAACAAACAATGAGTAAACAAACATGTCCTGTATCTATCGAAAAAATCGGAACAACGGGAAAATGAAATAAGGTTTGCAAGAATGCTGGATGAAAGATGAATATTAATATATAATCATGTTATGATGACTATGTAACAGTCTTAACGCATACAGTCAGTGACGATGTATTACTAACAGCACAAATTTTGTTTTCCTGAATCTAGAGATCAATTTAAAAAATCTGATGAATACACCACATGACTTCCTTGTACGGAATATTAAATTATACGCATTTTTTCTTGCATTTTATTTAAACTTATTAGATTGAATTAAACCTACTTCGCCGACAGCGCATAAACCACAATTGAATAAATGCATTCTTTAAAATTCACTTTGTTTATCATAGCGACACTCTGGCGCTAGGTTTACTTAACAGTATTATATTTCATTCATATCATAACTCAGAATGCACAAAATGTATATCATTTAAAGAATTATCTAATCGTTGCCATATGTTCTATTGAAATACTATAATAAAGCTAAAACTATGTATAAAAGAAATTAAGCAAACAAAACACAACAGAAACAGTTTTCACAGACGATTGAGTATTTTTCATTCAATTAATTCAGTTCTCACTTCGCGAGAAGGCAAAAATACACAAAAACTCAAAATATCTATATTAAAAATTACGAAGTAAATTTCAAACGATTATTTCCTCGAAAAAATTCCAGAAAGAATTAAGCATGATTTAATTGGCAATAATAAATGAATGCGTTATCTTTGTTGTTGCGAAGCTTAAGTTTCTCTAGATTGGCAACAAATCCACCAGTCTCCTGTTTCAAATGTAAACATCAATGGCCGCCATTAAAAACAGGCTTAGCGGCAATTAAACAACTTTAAAATAGCTGATAATTCTAAAAATATTGCACACAGATTTACTAAAGGCATAAAATCCTTAACCGGAAGATAAAAAACAACATAATTCAATCATTTTTAAAGCAAAAAATGTACAATTTACAAACATATAAGAGTAAAGAAACTGAGATCGCTGAGTCGGGTAATAGAGTGGAAATATATATAAGTATATTTATATACGTTTGGCGCTGCCGATTGCAACCAAAATACGAGGTGCACATCTACATGTTATAGCAGTCCTATATACAAAATTTCAACGTTCTGAGGCTACTCGTTTTTGAGTTATGCGAGATACGTACGTACATACGTTCGTACAGACGCCACGAAAAATTCTCTTCAGAATTAATTTTAAAGCAGTTTTATAATTTTTTTAAAGGAAAAGAGCATTTTATTCTGTCCTTACGTACAGATATCGCGCAAAACATCGTTAAATTGCATTCGATAGCGGTCCAAATGGATATTTTCGTTGAAATATGCTGCCTGAAACTTTTCGCGATTACAATACTTCCTTTTTACGTCGTACAAGGAAGTAAAAACATCCGGTTTGTTAGTTCATCTTTACTGTAGGCAGTTTTCTCCTAAAAAGGATTCCTTTGTATTTCCTTTCTAAAGCTTACATAGTATGCACTCTGGGGAAAGCTTTTTGTTAGGATCTAGAGAACGATATCATTTGAAATATTCGCACCTCTTTGTAATGAGCGGAAGAGGAGAGAAATTGTTGTGAGTCTCCTAACAGAATTTGAGGCGTTGTGGTTTTAAAAAAAACAACACGTGAGCAATCTAAGAGTTAACACGGGTCGTCGACAGTCTTATAGGTTTCATTCGCTGCAACATTATTGTTGGTGTTCCCGTTGGTGCCAGTGCCATCGTTGTATAAGACGTACTCAGTTTTTAGACAGAAAATTTTAAAGTAAAACAACGTAAACCGGGAACTTTGTATTAAAAAGTATCACATGATAAATAATTAAAACTTCCATCTAATTTTTTAAAAAAATTCTTAGTTAGAGGATAAGATCGTCACGTCTCTTAGACTTTAATTTGGCAATTACAGTTACAGTTTTTTAGACAACTGCACATTTTTTCTTCCTTCGCTGTTGGAAAAATAATTGGAATTACAAAAACAAGCTCAGTTTGACTTATACTAAACACTGATATGTTGTTCTCAAATTAGCAAATGAATTATGTTTCCGTTTTTACCTTTCGAAACTAAGCGCCAAATACTTTCAATATTGTAAAACAAAGAATTTATTTGCACTTCAGTTTTGAAGTTGCAAAAACTGAAACAGTAAAATTTGTGCTCCTTTCAGGCTAGACAGATAGTAATGATTCAATTAGTGTTTGCACGTTTAAAGCCTACCAACCTGCTTCTCCGCGATTACTAACTTAAATTCAATCAAAGATACTTGCTAGCTGGTAGCATAAAAGCTAAAAGCAGGTAGTGCAAAGGAATGTAATCACCACGGGCTGATGTTTCCAGCTCATATTTCTTAAAACGTAGGTTCTTGTTGAGATGAAATATAGAAAAGATTCAACATTAGAATAATCTTACTAATGAAAATTAAATTTATTTTTCTAGGCAACTGTATATTTATTTTAGTTGTTGCATGAATAAAGGCAGCATAAATAAGAATCTATTCGTAGTTAGGTGATAAAATCGTCAAATTAATGATGAAAAGTCTGAGGAATTAAAAAAAATTGGAGTTAACTTCATAATGTGGAATTTTTCTGCGAAGTGGATGATTGAAATGCGCAGCGATGAAAATACTACTGGTAAGCTTTTTAGTGAATTTGATTATGTTTGACTTTCTAGTATTCTTAGTTTATTTGTGCAGTCAAATTTGTAGCTGCGTATTTTGTTTATAATTTTTTATTTCTTCATTAAAGATTTAGAGCTTATAATTCTAAATCGAACAGTGTTTAAATTGTAAAAATAGCTCATCTAGAATATGGAATAAAGGAAGAAACTCTTCTGTCAGGACTCTGCGTCGTTTGGAGATTTATTGCCGATTTGGTGACCTTCTGGAAGTCTCCATAAAACGTTATTTTTGAAGCATTAGGAGCGATTTTTCTTACAGAAGCTTCCATAAGGCTGGCAGTTCTATATAATTATGGCTTTTAGAGACGGTCTGTCAGTTACTTCAGAGACTTCAAAGAGTTGGCTGAGTGAATCGTGAAGTATGTTTTAGAATATACTATATCAGTTATATGGACATCTGCGATATTTCTAGCTGTCTTCTTATCCCTTTGTTCTTTTTGAGTTATTTAGAACTTTATTTTGCTGTATGTTGTTATTCATTGCAATAAATTGTTAATTTTGTCTTGCTTCTGGTGTAGTTATTGGAAAGATCGCCATGAATCCGTAGCTTGTAACGATATTAATCAGAGTAACGTAACTTTTACAAGCTCTTTTACTAGTCTGTAAAATTTCCATCCTCAGTCGGTATGATGAACTGTATGCCAAACTGAAATCCAAATTATTCCTTTGATTTACTTTCTGTTTAGTTAATTGAGTTCCAAAAAGTTCCGCGATGGAAGTAATATTTTGGGTTTTCATTATGGGTAACATTCAGTGCTTGGAAACAGTACACAAGCCTCTTTACGAAAATTGGGATGCATGCAATATCATTCATTATTATTTAAGTAATAACGAACATCGCATTTTTAATATTGTTAATCAATAGTTTGTTTTTTCTTAATTATACAGAAATCAGTTTTCATAAAATACTTGTTTTTTAATCTGAGTACAAAAATAATGTACTTTATTTTTTAAAATTTTATTTACTCATTATTTTATTTTTTTATTTATTATTTTTTTTCTTCCGGTTATTTCAAAAATTTCTCGTTTTAATTAATTAATTTTATTTATTTTAAGCCCTTCATTAATCAAGCATTCTTGTATTTCGAATTCTACTTTTATGTTCGATCGCCATATTGTGGAGATACGCATTACTAGGAAAATAAAGAAAGATATTAAAGAGGTAAGCATAATATAACTGTGGGGTTTGAAATTAATTCAAAGTGATTATTCAACCAATGGATGGTTATTTTAATCTGTTGGCGATTTTTCACCCATAATATTCAACCAATGGCTGATTATTTTAATCTGCTGGCGATTTTTCACCCGTATCAGTTGTTGAATTCTAAACACACACATAGTTAAATAAATAAATAAATTTAAATGAAAAATTTTATATTTAAAATATAAAAAAATTAATAAAATAAGATAAATAAAAAAAATAAATCCAAGTAAAATATTATTTTGCCATTCCATGATGGTTTACAAATTAAAACGATTATTTGTTATAATAAAACTGTTATAAAAATGCTGTTGCCGTGTCTGCAGTTAAATTTCAAATATTTTCAAATCGAAATTCTGGTTCAAAGTCCAACGCCTAATCCGTGTCTCCGAACCCTCTGATACTAACCAGACGTGCTTTCCAGTTACCACGACGGCATTATCTGCACTTGGTTATGTCCCATTTCAGGCTGTGCCATTTCAGTGCCTGTTGAAGAGTTGGATAAGAACGATTCCCACTTCACCTTTTTTTTTTTCATTCAGGGTCAAGGCAAAAACCGATAGCCCGATAGAAGGTCACATGACTGTGAAATATATGTTAAAATTATGTCATAATGGCATCGGCCTTTAAACTGCCAAGTGAGGCTCTTGTAGTGTTGTTATTGATTTTGTCCTGCAGACCGTTACTAGATGAGATGGCGAGTTAACTCTGCTTCTTAAATAGTTGCAAGTACAGAAGAAGGCTTAAAATAACTTATTTATTAAGTCTGAACAATGAACATAAAAGGCACGACTTGAGCAACGACAAAGTACTACTAATAGCGATTAAATGAAGCAGTAACAGTCAATAAAAATTCAAATGCGGTAACGTAGTCTGAGACTGCACAATCAGTAAAATAAGCTATACGTCAGTAAAATAAGCTATACGTTGGCTCAGTATTTTACCGGCGGAAAAAAGGGGGGAAGAAAAAGTTTAAAGCAATCTGCTAGTGAGAAATACCAAAGCTAGAATATCGCTTTAAACTAGAGCTGGCTGTGAAGCGCGATGCGATTGCCCGAAACCTTCAGCTTCAATACTGTCAAAGCTAATGTGCATTCTGGTGAGGAATAACGGAAGGAAGAAGTTACAGTAAAGATCGAAATCATAATAACTGTTAAATTAACATAAGATACATTACACACTGTTTTGTTAAACATTAGTGACGTACATCTAATAACTGATAAATTAACATAAGATACATTACACACTGTTTTTGTTAAAACACGTTGTTGCATCTAATATAGAAAATATTTTTTTTTTCTGAAAAAATTTATTACAGTGTTATAGTTTGAAATAGAAAACAATGATAGAAATTCTAAAGAATATGCATAATTAATGGAATTCGTTGATTTTACAATTATTACTTTTGGTAGATCGACTGCATAATAGTATATTACATCTAAAGTGAGAATATGTTTCATGGTTTCCATTACAGCGTAGCGTTTTGCAGATACAGCTATCGAGGCTATAAATCTGTAACAAAACTTTCATCAAGGTATATATACTATTTTATCCATAATTACCACTCAGTTTTAAACATTAAATTAATTATGACAATTTTATCATTATTTTCGCTAAGCTACTTCAGCGAAAGGTACGACGTTGTTGGCAGGCATAATTATATTATGAGAAGAAAATGCTCATTGCTACCCATGAGATGTGAATGTCATTGCAGACAGTTAGGAATAAAGACTTTATTAATCTAAAAGAAGTTATGAATTGACACATTTTATATCTTTTTAATGATTTTGTGAATAAGTGTAGTTATTAGAAATATTTTTTATTCTCAAGTAAATATGTATTTGTAATAACTGACATACGTACTTGATAATAAACATACTGTTACGTTGACTTTTCTTCACTGGTTCGTGCAGATTTGGAGTGAATAACGACGACACTTGATGAAGTATTGAAACATACTTTATGTAGCCAATATTTAATCAGGACAGCTCTAAAATCACCTTTTACAGTCGCCGAAGATCTACTATACTATAAACACGTTGAAACAATCAGCGACACAGCCTTCAGGTTATCACGGTGAAGACAGCTTTACGGCAAAGCACTAGAATACAGTTCCCGACTGTGCTCGATCGTTTTCGGAACTCCACGTACTCTGAGACTCCACGTTACAACTCGCTATGCACTCGACGACACACAGAGCACAGCTCCCGACTCTTCGATTCAGTCGTTCCCGGAGCTCAACACGCTCTCTCGACGATGCAGTAACCGCGATACACTAAGAGACTCTATGCACTCGGCACTCGCTGGTCGTCTGTCAACTCGATCGTCTCCGCGCGGACTAACTAGATGAGACACACTTAACTCGCACCTGACTCTCCGCGTACCAGCAGGGTTTATATAGGTTTTGGCTTGTGTTCGAGAACATTCTGGGATAAACCGGTAAGAATTCGTTCCAGAAGGTTCTCCATCCGTCCATGACATATCGCCAATTTTGTCACCAAATTTCGCCAAATGGGTGATTTCTCGCGCCAAATATAGCAACCCTGCCTTCCTTTGCATTTTATGGCAACCCTAAACCTGCTTCGGGAGAAGCTATCTAACCGCGCCTGGACATGTCGTAACAATACATACTTGTTAATAAAACAAATATATTTCTACACTAAATGATTGGTTTATTTAATTATGGCAAAGCACACTAGGGCTATCTGCCTAAGGGGAGGAATAGCTTTGTGGAGAACTTTCTGAGGGAAACTGGCTCGTATACACGTTACACATGGGGAAAAAACCACGAAAACGCCCCTGCAGCCAGCCCGTTCGCGGGATTCGAACCTGGGACCGAACTACCAGTGTTCAGCGACTTGACCCCTTGGCCGCTGGTGGGCCTTCTACACTAAATGAAACCACCACTGAGATGAACCATGCGTTATTTCAATCAAATTAGAAAGAATCACATGCATGAAGTTAAGAAAATATTGCTGCCAACAACAAAGACATTTTTGTCTCATCAGTAGATCAAATTTGCGTCGCTAGAGTTGCCATAAAGTATATGTCATGGAGGGCGTTTTTCGTTTGCCAGTTTGATACAGAGCAGCGTTTCATAAACTATGGGCTGGGGGCGGGACCTGCAGAAGGAGGGGCCAAAAATTGAGCAGTTTTGATATTTTTTTAACTTATTATAATAATTTTACAAATACCAAATATTTTTACGCAATATACCTGAAAATAGATAAAGATAAGACAATACAGACAAAGAAAAAAAGGAAAACGTTTCGACGCATTCTTTATGTAATAGAAACGTTCATTTTTACTTGCTTTGCATGTGATGCTGTCATTTCGTCTGTTACTTATTAAAAAATTTTACATTTCTCTACGTCTTAAAATTAGAAAATAATGACCTAAAACTGCAATAGTATATTACAGTACAAGTGAAAAAATTGAATTTCACACACACACGCGCGCGCGTGTCGGATTTGCGTAATGCTTATGGGGTCCCACAAAATTTTCATCAATATTATGGGGTCCTGGGATCGCGAAAAAATCTCGGTGATAAAAAGGAGTCGCGACTGAAAAAAAATTTAAGAAACCCTGATATAGTGAATGCTGTTAAATTATAAATTACTTTTGTTAGGAAAATAATAAGGATAATGTATCATGAAGCAATTTTTTATTGTGGGACCTGCAATTCGGGCTTTCTGGATTTAAGAGGCCCTAAGCGCATGCTTTACGCGCCTGTGCAGAATTACGCCACTGCCTCAGCGCATTATTTATAAAAATTGAAGTAGTGCGTTCTTTTTTTCTTTCTTTTTTTCCTGATTTTGTTTACATCTCTTTTGAAATGCAAGATGTTAAAAGCAATATTTTAAAATTTGCTTCTTGCATTATTCATTCATTAAAATCCCAAGTATTTGAACTACATGTAACCATTAATCGCGACCGCAGCCTATCCAGGTAATTTGTAATTGATATTTACAGGAGGCAGACCCAAGAACGTAGTTTTTGTTTATTTAAGTGATTAAATTTTAATGTTTTCTTTTCTTTGTTTGTCATTAAGATTTAGACGGTTAAAAAATATATTTACATTAGCAAAGTAAAAAAAAAAAAAAAAAAAAAAAAAAACGATAAAATTTAAGGAATGAAATTTTTTATTTGCCTAACTCACAAACTACTTGTTTCTGTTTCAGTCAAAGCAAACACAAACAACGAAAGATTAAGTATGTCCTAAAACTAAACATAATTGTTTTTTACTTTATTTTAAAGTACTAAAATAAAAAATCTGATGTGTACACCACATGACTTTCTTGTACGGAATATTAAATTATAAGCATTTTTTCTTGCATTTCATTTAAACTTATTGGATTGAATTAAATCTACTTCGCCGACAGCGCATAAACAATAGATTAAATGCACCATTCTTTAATTCACTCTAGTATTTGTTTACAATAGCGACACTCTGGCGCTAGATTCACTTAGCAGTATTATATTTCGTTCATATTATAACTGATAATGCACATTTATATCATGTAAAGAATAAAATTATCTAATCGTTGCCACATGTTCTATTCAAATACTATAATAAAGCTAGAATGATGTATAAAAGAAATTAAGCAAACAAAACAAAAAAGAAACAGTTTTTCACAGACGATTGAGTATTTCTCATTCAATTAATTCAGTTCTCACTTCGCGAGAAGACAAAAATACATAAAAACTCAAAATATCTATATTAAAAATTACGAAGTAAATTTTAAACACTTATTTCCTCGAAAAAATTCCAGAAAGAATTAAGCATGATTTAATTGGCAATAATAAATGAATGCGTTATCTTTGTTGTTGCAAAGCTAAGTTTCGATAGATTGGCAACAAATCCACTAGTCTCCTGTTTCAAATGTAAACATCAATGGCCGCCATTAAAAACAGGCTTAGCGGCAATTAAACAACTTTAAAATTGCTCATAATTCTAAACGTATTGCACACAGATTTACTAAAGGCATAAAATCCATAACCGGAAGATAAAAACAACATAATTCAACCATTTTTAAAGCAAAAAAGGTACAATTTACAAACATATAAGAGTAAAGAAACTGAGATCACTGAGCCGGGTAACAGAGTGGATATATATATAAATATATTTATATACGTTTGATGCGCCGATTGCAAACAAAATACGAGATGCACATCTACATGTTATAGCAGTCCTATATACAAAATTTGAACGTTGTTAGGCTACTCGTTTTTGAGTTATGCGAGATACGTACGAACGCACTTACGCACATACGTTCGTACAGACGCCACGAAAAATTCCCTTCAGAATTCATTTATTATTTTTTGGAGAAAACGGGTCTTTTATTCTGTCCTTACGTACAGATATCACGCAAAAATATCCTTAAATTGCATTCGATAGCGATCAAAATGGATATTTTCGTTGAAATATGCTGCCTGAAACTTTTCGCGATTACAATACTTCCTTTTTACTTCGTACAAGGAAGTAAAAAATAAAAAATATTTTTAAAAAAAATTATTAAATAAAATGTTTTTATTTTTTCAACTAAGTTTAAACTCAAATTATTTTATTGATACGAATTACTAAAAAATATTTTTGCTTAAAAGTAACGTTTTGTTAAATATTTTCATCGATAGTTTATATTAATTTAATAATTCTAAGTAAAAAATTCATTTAAACGACGGGAAATATTAAAAAAAGGTAATAAAATAAGGTGAATTTTTTCACAGAGCTAAAAAATTAGATGAGATTTAGATAAATGGAATTTGTATTATTAGTGAAATCTGTTATGAAACCAAAATTTGTATCGAGCAATAATAATAAAATGGACACATGACATTTTGTTCAAAGGTCCCATGTTCGAATTCCGGACAGGCTATGGAGGTTTGTGACTGTAGTGTCTTTACGGTATGCCGCGCAGTTAAATCTCTTCTTTCTTCTTTTTCTCACGAGAGCTGAGTAGTAGGGAAAACGGGCACTTCCGCTTCGTTCGAAATATGTCCACAACATAGGCAGAAAGCCTCTTGTCCTTTGCTTGCATTAAATAATAAATCCAGGGCAATTCTTCTATTATGAAACCAAAGAAATTAGAAGTGTATAGAGCAGTGTTCATAACTATTTAAGGTAAGTGTTCGCCATACGTTCATCCGTGTTGCGAACAGCTCACTGAATATATTTTTTTCATACCTAAAACAGTTATGACATCTAGTATTTATTTAGGTAACCCATAATCTCTTTACAATGGTGTGTGCCATAACTGCTCATAAAACTTCAAGAAGTTCAAGGCGTGCGAGAGGAGAGGAATGTACTTGTTGCGACTGCTCTAAGCCATATGGGGTAAGTTTATATTAATTTCAGTTGAGAGAATAAGTTTCCTTTCATGACATTGAAGAATATTTTCGTTGCCCTTCCCATCTTAAGAACCCAAAATTTGAGTAAAAATAGGTGTATGTATACTATTTAACTTTTGTTATTGAGATGAAATTTAAAAAAATGGCATTTTAAAGATATCTAGTTATTTTGAATGTTTAGCTTTTTATTATTCAGCTAAAATAAAATTTTTAAAAAATTGTAAGTTTGTATAGTTGTCTTGAATATGAATTCTAATAGAAAAGAAGAATTGTCTCACATCCTTGTCAAGAAATAATAAGCCTGAATTTAACCTCCTTCTACGACAAACGATTCATTGTCTACATACTTTAATATTGAAAACTACCACTTTACATACTTTAATATTGAAAACTACCACTTTACTAATATCAGAACTAAAACTTTAAAAAATTTATTTACTGTGTAGCATGTAAGTACAATTAAAAATACAACAAGCGTAAGCCAGCGCTCATTAACGAAGTCTTGGAATGTAAAATCTTGAATGTATACGACACAATAATCCAATCACAAACACTAGCAAAATCCAGAAAACACTCATTAAACCAGCTTGGACCACTGATGAGCAGTTTACGAGAGTAACAACAACGCTTGCCAGTGTCTGAGTTTACACCTTCGCTTATTGTTCTTGACATTTGCTAAGGACCAGAGGCATATTTCGCCATAACGAATGATAGACATCGTTTAAAGAAATGAGATCTGGCACATATTTAATAGATGCTAGAAACACAGAAGTGATCTGTTGCCCAACATTGTTGGTCCAAAAATCACACTTTCAAATTTTCTGCTGCCAAAATTATTCAAAAAACATCTTCCATTGGAGAACTGGATTTTCTAGAGGCATTTCACATTCAAAAAATCTTTCTGGTCTAGTTAACGAACCTAATTCCAATCCATCTTTGCCTTGGGCCTAATTGAACCCTTAATTGAAATAAAGATGAAATAAGAATAAAAGAAATTGGCCTTAGTGAAATAAGAACTAAAAGGTAATTTCTTTTAGTTCTGGTTTCACCAACAGATGGCGCCACTAACTTATTTTCTGTTCAGGCTTTTTTATCTTATCTGATCATTATATCCTATCTCGTTCGTTTGCGCTTTTGCAGCTGAGGATGGTGGTTCGGTAAAATCATCGAAACTAGTCCTGCGAAAATTTGAAAATATAACGCTGATTTTTGTTGTTTGACTTCTGAATTAGATGCCCAGAAGTTTCATTATAATGCAAAATGGTAGCACCACCACACTGAACATCAAAATGAGCAAATCAAAAAGGTGCTCATAGTAGATATTTTCAGTAATTACGAAAAGTGTGCGCGTTCTGCTTGAAATAACGAACAGGTAGGAATTCGTCAGTATGACTTATGACCAGACACTGAAACACATTTAGCATCAGATTACTGGTGGGAGGTTCCGTGTTTTTATAAGAGCAGTCGATTTCTTGGCCGATGGGAAAAGCTGCAAATTTATTTGCAGTTTTTACTGCAACTAGTTTGGAACGCTTTGCCGAGTAGAGTTGTGAATATTTTGAATTTGCTGTTTTGGGGTGTTGCGAACAGTAGTGAGCATTTAGCAGAAAGCCGTGAAGCCACTTCGTTTGCATAGTAATTAGAGAGCATACGGCTTTTAGTTCTTCAAACGTGAGTACACTGCCTTTAACACAGTTAAATGGTCTTGCTCTACAGTGCTTCTGCTCTTACTTTTACTGTTCCAGTTTTTCCTTAGCAATTCTCTTGTAGTGTATTTAAATTTTACCTAATATCCATTCTGTAAAGTTATGGAAGAAAGAGAAGTACAAGCAAGATTTGAGATGAAAATACCTGTTAATTAAAACAATTCTTGCAAAAGGAATTTCATTTAAGTTGGGCATTTTAAAGTGAGATGAAATGGAAATAGAATTTTATGAAATAGGAACCCACTTCCTTTCATTGTAATTACAGTTAAAGAAAGAGTTTGTCATAGATAGCCACTTTACATGTCTGTTAATAAAAGATTCTTCAACACAAGAGTGAATTTGTATTATTTGTTATTTGACGAAGTAATTCTAAGATTTGGATCCGTCGAGTGTGTTTAACTTAAGGTATCTGTCAAGGGTGACAACTGGCCAGAGACATGAAAAGGCAAGCTGTGATTTTGATGGCTTACGAGTGTGTTTCAATATTGAGCACTCCTTGTGTATTTATAGTATGCGAAGATTTTGAAAACTGCGGTGTTACTTGAATATTATGGTAATACTGAAATTACGGGTTGTTATTTGGAACTTTTTGGAAAATCTCTAGTTTTATAAGAACTTTCGCCTTTTGCACTACGTGGCGTAGTGATGCAAGTTGTTGTTCGTCCGGCTAGTAATTAGAAATTCCGTGGTTCGAATTCGAAGAGGATATAGTTGATTATTCTTACTTCCTGCTCCGAAAAATCCAATAGTTATACAATGGTGCTCTATTAAAATATAGTGAACGATAATTCGTCACCACCTAGATTTGGCAACTGGATCTCCTCCATCCAATTGGGAAGAATATAAAAAATGTTCACTTACTCCACCGCGTCCTTTCCTGGTATAAGTGGTTACGCACACTGACGCTTCAAACATAAATATAAATTCATGTACAGTGCGCGCGCAAAAAAAGGGGGGCCAATTCTATATCTTCCGTTCTACTGGGCCGATTGACGAAATTCAAATTTCGTTTTTCATGTCTCAAAAGCGTGACTTGGAATATACATTCTTTTGCAAAAAAAAAAAAAAAAAAAAAAAAAAAAGTCGAAGCACCATGACGGAAGTGGTTGTTTTTGATGAAAGTGAATATGTGTACAGCTCATACACAGATAATAAAATGATTAAAATCAAGGTCGCAGTACCTGTTCACGGCTCACAATCACCTATTGAGTGATCAAATTAGTAGTTGGTCGAACCGCTCCTGCCGGCAATGCATGCTTGAATTCGTCGAAGCAAGGAGTGGAGAGGTTCCTAATGTCATCCTGCCAGGCATTCATCAGTTGTCGCTCCAGATCTGTGATATTTTGTGTCCGAATCTGGCGGCCTACCATGTCCTAGACATGCTCGATTCGTGAAAGATCTGATGCCCTTGCTCGCCAAGGAAGAGTATCAACCGAGATATGTCCAGAGATATGCGAGCGGTATGTGGCCTGGCATTATCTTGTTGGAAAATGGCCCCAGGATGACGTGCCATGAAGGGTAATGCAACCGGCCGCAGGATGGTATCAACATATCGTTGAGCTGTTAAAGATGCACGCTGGATGACTAAAGATGATCTGCTGTCATAAGAAATAATGCCCCACACTATCATACCAAGGGTTATGGCTGTTGTTTCTGCCCCGAACAAATACAAAGGCTGATTGGGACCGCTATCCCCGTCCTCTCCAAACACGAACACGGTGGTCATGTGTTTCAAGAGTGAAGCGGGATTCATCGCTGAACACTATACGATGCCACTCTGATGACAGCCATGATGATCGGCTGCGACACCACTCCAGGCGACTCCGCTGATGTTGTGGGATCAAAGGCAAACGTCTTAAAGGCCTTTGTGAGCGTAACCTCGCTTCAGCCAAGCGCCGTGAGATGGTGCACGGAAGGTATAGACGTGGCTCTAGTGCGTTGAATACTCCACAATGATACCGTTGGAGCGTTTCGGGCCTGGCGAACAATCATCCTGTATTGCCTCGCATTTGTGATCCTTGGCCTTCCAGAGCCTTCATTTCGTCGGCAATTACCTTGTAGCAACCATTGCTGCCAACATCTTTGCACAGCAGTGTCTGTAGGCTGCAAGTGGCGGCCTATTGCTTGGTATGACCACCCAGCTTCACGCAACCACGTTCGAAGTCGTTTAGTTGTCTGTAAGGTATTTGATATCGTCGTGATGGCATCTTTAGTTGCTTCTTTACGAAATTACAATGGCAGCAACAAAAAAAAAAAAAAAAAAAAGAAAAAAAAAAGAAATAAATTTTCTGCTTCTGTTACTGGTTTTATACCTTGCGAATTGCGCACTAGAAATGCGCGCTATGATCGCAATTCCTGTTCATTTGCCTTGAAACTTTGATCATTTGCATGTTCGATCAAGATGTTTTTGCATACCAAATTTCGTGACTATCGCAAAAGTCCTTCTTGATGCTTGGTTTTATTTTTCAAAAGAGTGTATATTAAATATATATATATAGCACTGTTCTAATATAGGTATTTTGACACAAAATCGGACTTTTTCTGAAATGGTATGCCAATAGTTTTCCATATTTCGATTCTATGACGCAAATTATGCCTAAATATTAAATTTTGTAAAACTTAATGCGAAATTTACGGAGAAAGACGAAAATTTATCTTAGCAGATTTTTTTTTTTTTTTTTTTAAAGTTTGCGCCAGCAACAATTTACTTGGCAAACTTCTTAATTTATAGCAACCTATTGTTTATTCCTTTTTTTCATTGCAGACGAGGGGGGGGGAAGACTTCGTTCATACTTTCAATTAATATTAACAAAGTGCTGAACTACATTTGGCGTTATTATCGCCCCCAAAAAATATGCAAAATTTCAAAATGCTCCAATATGTAAATTAATCTGTATCTTAGGAAATTTTGAATGAAAATCTTTAATTTTTTTTTGCAGGTGTGCCTATAAATACATCTACTTTTAAGATGATGTTAAAAATTTTATATGTTATATTTCAAGATTTTTTTCGAAATATTTAAAAATACAAATTTTAGAAATAAATCATAAAAAATGGGCGAGTTATATTTGGATTAAGTCTAAATTTCAAATTCTGGAAGAAGGAATCAAGTATGTTTAAGAAAAAGAGATATTAATAAATATACAAGTATATCAAATTCAATTAACAATAAGGAGCTAAAATTTTGAGAGCTAATTTTTGAAGCTCATGCGATTTTTACAAAACGTGGCATAATTTGAAGAACTGAAATATGGGAAAATATGGGTCATTTCAGAAAAAGTCCGATTTTGTGTTAGAATACCTATATTAGAACAAAGCTATATATAAATCTAATGTATATCCTAAGTCGTGCTTTCGAGACATCAAAACGTTGAATTTTGTCAATCTGCCCAGTATAGAACGAGAGATATAGAACTGTTCTTCCCCTTTTTTTTTGCTCAGTGTATATTATATATTGTTGTATAAATCAAATTAGTAACGCAACAAACTTGAGTTTTGCTTAGATTTAGTCAGGATCTCAATCGATTTCGAGGGCAAAGAGGTACAGATCCCTCTTCGTCAGGATCAAAGAAGTCTGCAAGAGTGACGAAGAGGGACTTTGGGGGCCCTCGAAATCGACAGAGATCTTGACTAAATCTACGCCAAACTCAAGGTTGTTGCGTTACTAATTTTTATGTTTCATTTTGCGTGTTTCTCTTCTGTTTTCATTATATTGATGGTAAAAGGTTCTATTCTTTTTCCCACTAGCAGGTGTCCAGAATCACTTCTCCTGGTGAATCGAGATTCTTCTGAAAATATCAGTTTGGACCATTGTTTCTGCGCCGAACGTTATGCTTTCCGTCGATGGCATGCTTTTAGTGGAATGTATATGATATGATTCTGCGTACAAGCCAACATAATTTAAACACCAAAAATGATTTTATCCGATACAGGAGCTTTGGAATATAATATGGCAAAGTTTGTGGCTCTCTGTCGGAGTAAAACGTTCTTTATCGTTTTTTCCGCTTTATCGGCACATATCTGCCGTTTTTTGAGGTTGAATTCTCCTTCTATGCTGTCAACTTGTTTTGCCCGAGCAGTTCCACTGTTAGCAGCCATTTTAAATCTCTATATAAAATTTAGACGCACCTGTTGATGAGGCAACATAAATTACACTTTGACCTGCATAGAGCCGACCAGTTATTCATCCTCGATTATAAACATTCAGATTATATGTCAAAGCATTCTGCGCTCAATATTTGCCATAAGAATGGAAATTTATAAGATTATCTTCAAAAATCCATAATGTGACTTTCTCCTCGAATTCAAATCTTTAAAATTTGGAATGAATAAAAATCTCGTTTGTTTCCTGTTTGTTTTTTCTGCGATTGCGCAGCTATCGTGAGCACAGCGTTGCATAAATTAGTTTTTCCTAATTTTCAAGGCATACAGTATGCGACCAGTCCGTAAAAAGATTACAGGTTTATTTTATTCTCTCATTAATGCTAAAGCTCACTCTCTCTTCAATGAAAAAAATGTTAGTGCAATACATTCTTCAATAAAATGTATTCTTGATATTTATTAACTAATTATATTACTTCCGTTTAAAATAATTTGTGATTTGTTCTTACAGACATCTGTTCTTACGAAAATAATTGATGATAAAAGAGCTTACGGCGTCGTTATAGAGTCAGAGATACTTTTAGATGTGATAAGTTCATTAACAGACATTCATGGTAAGACACACTTTAAACTATTCGATTAAAATATTGATTGCATATGTACTGAAACGCAGTTTTATCTTTCTGTATTTCTGCCTACTTAGGATCCGATCTCTCTCGTGCTCCGCTACCTGAAGTAATTGAGGAAGTCCTGAAGAAACAGGAAGGTGTTCTAGGGGACACCAATATTCTTCGTCTTCGACTTCTGGCAGTGAAATGTCTTTTCATGAATGGTTATCCAAGTAAACAAGTGAAAGAACTGAAAAAACTGCTTGAGTCTATGAAGTAAGAATTTTAGATTTATTCAGGGTTTGTTGGTCTATGAAACTGAAACGCTTGGCAAATGCAGCATGTCAAACAATGTGTGCGCTTTGGGTTGAGAATCTTGAATGCTTTCATTGATCTTGAATGAATTTTGTTAACAGGAGCACAGTATTAACAGTGTAAGTTTAAATGTTAGTGGTATTAGAGATGCTTAAACATTTATAGGTACTTTTCCGTTTCGCCGGCGCAAATCTCGCCAAGCAGACTTTATTGGCAACAACATACAGTATACACATAAAAAATATTAAAAAAATGCTAGTTCTAAGAATTCTTTTTTTGAAGGCATAAACATTTTAATCTCGCTTAAAATTTTATAAGAAGCCAATAAATAAAGACAATTTGTAAAAAAACATTAAGAATTTACTATGCTTTCATGGCTCAACATCCGTGATTCGCGGGTTTATATCACGTGACCGCAAGTGATCTTATCTCACTTAAATTACGCTACAAAAATCTAATTATATTAATTTCAAGTTAAATCTTAAATTAAATCTTATGCAATACAAGTTTAAATACAAGAATTATTTCAGTTCATATGAGTAGCTTACTTAGAAATTATGTGAAACCGCAGTGCTTTACTTCGCTAAGTGCTTTCTCATTAGAATTGATGAATTTAACCCTTGACTTTTCCCTTTTCTATATTTTCGGCTTCGGGTTAAGCGCTGTGATTGCATCCTGATTGACTTATTACCGAAAATGGCCTTAGACAAAACTGAACTATCTGAGAAATTCTATGTAATTTTATGCCAGTATTGAAAAAACAATCAATCTGATAAGAAAAAGCTGCGACTTGTTTTGAAAATGAGGCTTAAAAGGTTACCAGCGAGAATATTCTGTTTGGCATCGGCTGTACCATTATTGGCGACTTTATCGCTTTCACCGGCAAAACAGAAAAGTACCCATTTATAATTATGGGACATGAATTTAAAACTTTTATAATTATGGAGCGTGAATGGGAGATATACGGAAGTTTAAACTTTTTTAAATAATTAGTTCTTTAACTAATTAGTTTTGCTCGTCCGACCTTCCAATCAAGAAAGTAAATCTTTTGAGGTCTATCTTATTCAGGGTCATGTCTGTATAGTAAATAAGAGTAGAGCTTCATGCAGTTATAATTATCGAGGTATGAGAAAGTTATCTAAAAAGAATTTAGCACTATGGGTTCAGTTAATAAGACTGGATATCATAAAAAATTTTCTTTAAGTATTACTAGTGGGGGGGGGTTGAAATATTGATAGCTAAAAGTAGAAATCGTCATAAAGTAAGATTAGGAAAAATTGAAATTTAGAGTCTTGGAAAGAATTGTGTTCAAAAAACATACAGCAACGAATTTTCAGAGTGCTTCGGAACTGAATACTCGGCTGGATTCATGCGTTTGTAGGAAATGTGTTTGTGAGGAGCTTCGTAGGGTTAGTATTTATGGTAGGGCATTTATAGCTAAATTAAAACATCAACCTTAAATAGCTATTTACTATTATACTTCCTTTCTTGGGTAGCCGCAATTATTTTCGATAGCACTGAACAGTAGTTTGGCGATTTTTTACTGTCCTCAAAACCGAATAGTACCAATGCGGTAAATGATTATACAAGATTTATGCCGGTCATTTCTAAGAAGAATCAGTGTGGTATGAGTCTCCGAAGGAGAACCTACGCTGTATTGATAAAGCATTATATTGAAGTGCCATGTATTTCGGTTTCAATGTTGGGTTTTTAGAGAGTTTTGTGTTCCTAAATATGCACGTATTATGCATTTTCATCTGCGAGTGGTGCGTGTTCCAGAAGTAGCTTTGTATTTTTTATGGAAAGTGTTTCTTCTTATTAAAAAATTTGAAATTGTTTGGTAATTATTACTTAAGACATCTGATCTGTCTAATACGAATAAAACTTACCTGTATTTGTTTTGAAAAAATGTTGTATTCAAACAGAAAATTCTCATATTATTTCCTGCCATAATCAAAGGATTATTTGAAACTGGAAGTTTAGCGTGCACGATTTCAGAAACAGTGGCACATTATGATAGTAAAATTCGTGCCACACACATACTTCTAATAAATGAACAAATTATAAGACGAAATGAACAATCATCAGTTCCATTTTATCAGATATAACTTTAAAGCAATCTCGCTTTCTCTCAAAAAAAGACAAATGATGTATTCAGCGCTAAAATTTGTAATATGTTTTGATTTAGTCATAAAAATATTTGTGAACCAAAAGGTGTGCGATTTGATGCTGAAAACTTCGGCACATCCGTTGGTGATTGCCATTGTAACTTACAAAAGAAAACCTACGTAGCGAGTCGCTATACGTTCTAGTCTTACCAATAATGTGTGTGTGGATAAAATTCATGGTTTGTAAGCTCAGGAATCGAAAAAAAAAAGCCTAGTTATTATTAGTTTTTAAGATAGAAATTTCTTTGTGGACCCGATGTTTCTGAAATGTTAAAAGTAGCTGATAATCAGACCATACCGAATGTTAGCAGGCTTTAGGGAATTAAAAAAGCAGAAGTTTAAGTTTGATCATAGGACTAATTAATTGAAGAAAAGCATAGGTGGATCAAGGGTCGGGGAAGTGACTAAGGGAGTCGCCAAATTAGTTGTGAAATTTTAGAAATACACTCAAAAAATTCTGATTGTTACCTTTTAATTTTTGCACGTGTCGAGGAACGCCGTCTCAAAATAGCTCAATGCAGTAAAAAGCGTTACTAGTGTCTGTACTATGACTCAAAAGTTTGTGCCTTGGCCTGGACGGTAAACTGACTGGCTAACTTTTGCAATTTTTTTGTTTTAGTTTGCCTCTAAATGACTTATCTGGAACACCGGTGGCTGCGTCCGTTCTTCTACCAGCTTATCGAGCTACACAAAAAAAAAAAAAAAAAAAAAAAAAAAAAAACACTTCTGAAAATTTAATTTGGCACCTGCCGCCTTGAAGAAATCTAAGCCTAAAATTACGGTAGCTTGAAGACGACCGGGAATAAAACCTTTTTTTTACAAATTTTTAACTTGTAATGCTGTCTTAACTATGCTAATATTTATTTATAATTTCACCATCAACTGTAATGTATGGTATTGTATTTGTAATGTCATGAACGTTTCAATTAACACCGATGCGTGGCGTAAGTACGCCCTGTGGAGGTGTTCATCTGAAGACGGTTATTGCGATGTGTTGGTGCTTCCCACACCCTGTCCTGTCTTAACTATGCATCTCCACTGTTGCCTTTGGCGGCAATAACTTTTGTTCCCTGTTTTGTTAAACAGTTTATACTTTCTAAAAGTATTTACGAAAAAATTTTCTGAAAGAAAACTACATTCAGCCCAGGTGTCGATCAATGTACCTGCAGGGAAATTAAATACCAGCACTACTGGGAACGCCAAATTTTTAACAAGACGGTATCCATTTAAATTTTAGAGGGATTTGCTTTCCTCCGGGGAACTGTACCTTGTTATCTTCAGTGCCCCAGCCTTGTTTAAATTTTTGTGTATAGTTGTCCTTATATTTTCTCTTTTGCCCTTCACTTTGACGACCATCATTCGCGGTTGAATCTTTTTCCCTATTATCAAACTGCCTCTTCTGGCCAAACTTCAGTCTTCGCTGAAGTGCTGACCTGAAACTTTGCCCGTGTCTTTTCCGCCATGCGTCTACTTTGGCATTTTGTGCCTAACTCGAACAACTCTCCATTATCGATGGGACCCACCAGTGGCTGAGCGGTAAAGTCGCTGAACACTGGTAGTTCGATCCGAGGTTCGAATCCCACGAACGGGCTATCTGCATGGGTGTTTTCGTGGTTTTCCCCATGTGGGACGTGTATACGAGCCAGTTTGCCTTAGAAAGTCCTACACGAAGGCATCCTCAGTCCTCTGACATAAATCCAATTGAAAATTTATGGCACGAATTGGACCTAGAAGTCAGGAAACATAAAATTTCGTGTAAAGATGAACTTAAGCGTATACTCCTGCAAGAATGGCACAAAATTTCCAATAGTACAATCAAAATTTCGGTTTACTGTATGAGAAATAAATTACAAGCTGTTATAAATGCAAAAGGTAAGAATAAAAAGTATTAAATTTTGTTCCCACATTTTGCTGTATGATCTTGCAAATTTTTTTTGACATGCAAAATTACGTTTTGTATATTTTCTGTAAAAGGCATATTAAAACGAAAGTTTGATTAGATTTGTGTGTTTATTACCTTCTGTGTTCGTTATGTCCATCTGAAATTGTCAAGCATTTTCTTTGTTAGCTAATATGATCAATTATAGGGCAATTGCCAATGCTTTTTTTTTTTAACCCACTGTATGCTCTTTTCTGATGAGTAAAGAAGTAAGGTTCCTGCAACAAATTGTAACTGTAGATTGGGAAGTGGATATTCTACGTTAAACTGACCCCTTCGTTGCAATTCGCACTTGTAAATAAATCTATTGCTTCAGAATATTGTCATATGAGAATGTTAACCATACACACAATCAGCAGATTGGAACACGGAATTTTGTCTCATTCTGCATTCTTTCCTGACATTTCCCTATTAGATTACTAGTTTTCCCAACACTTGAACAATCTTTCCTTTTCTTTCAGGTTTGTATTTGGAGAATATTACGAAGAATTGATACCAATTTACCGTAAACTGCTTCTCTTGGGCAGAGTTTTCCTTGATCATTCTACATACATGCAGTATGGTCTTGAGGTAATTTGATATTAACATGTTCTATACAACAGTTGGACATAACATGTTAATTGTAATAGTACTATGTTACATACAACTTATGTACAAAAATTCTATATTAAAATGTTTACTGTTATTATGTATTTTTGCGTATATTTGATAAGTGTTCTTAAAAAGTAAAATTTATTTGTCTTAGGACACAAGAATCCCATTCATGCGCGAAAGTTTCGCCATACCACTTAACAGTTATGTCTGAAGTTCTTCTTCTCTGCCTTTTTAAAGTAAAGTGAAATCTGTATACAGTAGAATCACGAACTGTGTCGCAATAAAAAATTGACTTTTTCAGGCTTGAAATATTTCAACATCTGCTTCGCTTCGCATTTTGGGCTGGGCATAGAAAAATAAGTTAACGTTTCGCATAACTTCATTAATGTCGGAGAAGCTCTGCAAAATACCTTCTTCATTTTCTCCTTCCACATGCTTTGTATATCTAAACTGAAAATTAAGCCTGAAACCCTTGAAAACTAACAAAAATAAACAAATGAAAGAAACGAGAACTAAACTTGTAAAGTCATTAGGTTATTTTGAAGCAGAAGACATGAAAAAAAAAAAAAAAAAAAAAGCTATGCCCTCGCCGGAACCCGAACCTGGAACTGTAGAATACGCGCTGAGTGTGCTACTGGTTACACCACGAAGGCATGCAGAAAGGAGAGAGAAAAAGTCGTATAAAATGATTACAGTTCGGAAAAACAAAATTGTAAACTAGGCTAGAAACAGACACGAAGGTTCGAGGCACGTACAAAGAATTACTGCATTATTTTTATACGTTTATAATTCAGAAAGAAAATAATACAGATAAAAAATATGCTTCAGAATTTTCCCAAGCAAGCAATTCTAAGGTGAAATTTTCATCTTATTAACACCTTAAAGAACACATGTTCATTTACATTTTGACAGTTTAGTTTGACTGTATATATATTTTATTGCGTTATTTTACCTATTTTACTATCTAAAAAACATCGTAAGGCAATAAAAAAATTAAAGAACATTTAAACTAACAAAAATTATTGAACAGGACTGATAATAAATGTAGAATACTTGTTCTTACCAAACATTGACAAATCATATACCGATGTAATGTAAAGTTCACAAACTCTCTCAGTTCCTTTGCTCAACCAGTGTTGCCAAAAATCAGAATGTAAAAATGCCCATCGGTCAACTTGACCGTTGTGTGTGCTTATGTTATGCAATACCACGATATTTCGACGAATGCGAGGATAAATAACGCTGTTCACATGAAACAGAACTCGGAACCAAAAATGGTGAACGATAAAGAAAACTTCCGTTGCGAGAACGATAGTCGAGTCTTTTCTGTATATTAGTTTCCACACCATACATTATTTCAAATTTTTTCCTTTAACACGAAAATGAAGTAATTAGAATAAGAACTATTAATTAATAATAACATATCATTATATTGCTGAAGTGTAGTGGATTCAGTCATTATTCTGATTGCTCACTGTCTCAAAACTCGATAAATATAAGCTATTTATTTACTATTATGTAAACCACATTTTATATATTTCTTAATAATTGGTTAATCTACTGTATTTTATATGTTAATTCAATTAGTTATGTTATTAAATTATAATCATTATATTTTCGTTACAGATTAAATATCTGTGGCTAATACCGATTGCTTTAGAATTATGCTAAAATGCTTACGTCATTTTCTTTCATCTGTTCCAGTTTCGTCGTTTGATGAATAAATAGATTTCTCAAAGCTTGAAAAAGGATTCACAGCATTTTATCTTCCAGTGTGTATATAATCTCTGAAGAAAGTTATGAACATCTACAGTGATTAAAAAGTGTCTTTTTTTAAAATCATCTTACTTTAAAATTTGTGTCCGAAAACACACTTCGATTTTCTTTCTTGATTTTTTTTTTTTTTATTTTCTCATTTAATTTCATATTGCTTGGTTTTGAAAATTAGTTTATTGTTTACATCTATAAGAATAATAACTGTAACTTTTGCATTAAAATGATAGAATAAAACTGTGTTTAGTTTCCTTTTGTTTGGCTGTCTATTTTAAAATGATTGAGCAATTGTGTCATCAGAACTGGGAATCACAGTTACTTTTAAGATATCGTAAATTTCCCGAGGAAAGACGGAGGAAAAAAAGAAGTCATGAAAACAAAACCGTAACGCACAACTGAATTTTGATGTAACGAGTATATGCACTAAAACTGAACCGTTGTTATTGTGTAAATATACTGTCGCCTTGTATGGTAGTTACTGAAGTCGTCTGCCTTATCGTTGGTTCGAGGTTCGAACTTAGGGTAAGGCATTGATTTTTGTAAAATGTAGCCGTTTTTGGGACATAAAGGCATTCCATCGAGTCGTGAATATCCTTGAGAAGCTGATGATAGAATGAGTGAGTGAGTGCACCGCTATGATGGCTTCCGACCACGAACATTTTCGTCCTACGTCTGCCTCTGTCCATCTACTTTGCCAATTTTGTAGCAGACTTGTCAAAGTTGTTCGCTTAATATGAGACCAAGGAAGTTTAGTTGGTCTTTCTAATATATCCGTGCAGTTGGCTGCCTGCTTGGCCAGTAGGTCAGCGGCTTCATTGCCTTGAATTCCTGTGTGAGCGGGAACCCATTTGAAAGTGGTTTTTTTGCGAAATAGGCATTGTCAGAAGCTGTTTCAGTATTCGGTATACCAAAGGACTCCGGCTGTTTTGACCTGCGATAGCCGCCAGACTTGATGCCGAATCACTGAGTATGGAGAATTTCTCCTGTTGACATGTGTTCGCATATCTAATTGCAGCACTGATAGCTAGAAGCTCTGCTTGGTATACCAAGTTGTTCAAGCCTAATTTCCTTTTCCACTCGAATGTTACAACTCCATTTTCCAGTCTACAGAAGGCGCTGCCAGTGCCATTCTCAGTTTTGGAGCCATCTGTGAAAAGGTTATTACTGTTCCTCTGAATTGGTTGGTCGTTTATGCTGATATCGTTGGAGAGATTAAAAGCTGCTGGATGAAAGTTATGACAGTTGTTTTGCTCCTCGTAGTCCGAGTGGTGATAACTATGACCCCAGAGTGTTGAAGTTTGACCCAGCCTGGTAATCCTTACGATAGCTGCCTCCCTTTCCACTATCAAATCTAGGGAAGGAATTCTTGCTAGTTGTTGTAAAGCTAGTGTTGACGTGGTACGGTAGGCCCTGCATACTTGAAGTAGCTGCTGTCTCTGGATAGAGAGCAGGGATCTTTTCATATGAGAGGTAAGTTCGCCACCCCAGATTGCTGCTCCGTAAGTTATTACTCTTTCTGTAATGGTTCTATGCCAAATTTTTTTGTAGCTTAGATGAGATACCCCGTTTATGTGAAGTCATGCGTCTCATGTTGTTGCTTAGGATGCAGGATGCTAATTCGAGTATGATGATAGATGTTGCTTAGGATGCAGGATGCTAATTCGAGTATGATGATAGTATGATGATTGTTCCGTTCCCTAGGTTATTCTCCACCGAGACTAGAATGGAGTTAGGAGAAGTCGTAATGTCACCTTGACCAGTGACGTGCTCCTTCGGTCCGCCATGATGTATTCATAAAACTGATGTAGATACTTGTCCTCCTGTACAGATTAGTGATTAGTGTTACTTAGCTGCCTGTTTACATCACTGTGATAAGTAACAAAATATTAGATCTATCATTTTAAAGAGTGAGTGAGCGCCACCAAGGAAGACAACTGACCTGGCCTTAGCCTCACAGTGTGACATCTTCCTGGCAGAAACCATCTACTCTCTGCTCCACCCTGCTCTGGGAACGCAGCCGAATAGACGGCTAAGAGCCTAATAAAGTCTACATGTAAGCTTGGATGTTGTTGTACGGGGAAAGAGTATTCTGTTATGGACTACTTAAATTTTAAAGAGTATTCATTTTTTATTGGCAGATGATTCGATTTTATGATTGAAGAATGTGCTGATAGTTCTTCATGTAAACCATTTTCCTTTATCTGTGCCTTAATACAATTTATATTCAACTGTTGTAATACGATTTATATACATAATTTTTACAGATTTAGATAATAATAAAAAGATATTCACCATAAAGCAGAACAAGAATGAATAGAGCTCTTTAATAAAGCTTTCAGATAAAGTTCATTTGTTGAAAGTTTATTATCCGATTCGAAATTTTAAAAACAATGATGAAGTTCTAATGGCGTGAGTTTTTTCTTACTAAACATTTCCAAATTTCGTTTCGCTTAAATCAAATTATTTAGACTTTCAAAGTTAAATCTTAAAAAAGAAATTTAAAGCTCTCAAGTGCATTAATTACTCACCCAGACGTGTGTACTTGTGCTAGGAAATGAGGAGAAAAAATTCTAATTTTTTTACAAGGTTACTTTATAAATAATCGAGGCTCGAATAGCCTCGATTGTTTTTGCAAATTTTAAAGCATTTTATAGGATTTCTAGACTAAAAAAAAAAAAAAAAAAAAAAAAAAAACCCGCAAAGTTCAGATATTTTCCCATTCATTTCAAATTTTCACTAAATCTGTTAAATTATTTTTCTTACTACTTAAATAACTTTATTACTATATTTTTTAAAATTTAGATTATTCTTACTTAAATAATTTAATTGCTATATTAGTTAGAATTTACGCGGAAAAAACTTTATTACTATATTTTTTAAAATTTAGATTATTTTTCTTACTTAAATAACTTAATTACTATATTAGTTAGAATTTACGCGGAAAACTATAGTTCAAAATTCAAATCAAAATTTTAAACTTTGGATTTCCCCTTAAGGTTTAAGATCAAGTTTGGGTTCATATCCAACAAATACTCGTGGATTTCTGGAATATAAAAAGCAGTCCCCATTTTTGCAAGTAGCATAAAACTCGCTATTTGTTACTTTTTTACTTTACGTTAAATACACTTTTGAATACGCTGATATTTTTCTTTTGAAGAACCCCTCAACAAAGCGGTGTCTCATAAAATAGGTGCAGGTAAGGGGAGGGGACGTTTATACCTAAACAACACCATGCAAAGAGAATTTTTATTTGTTCAGTTACAAAAGGACGCCCTCGGTTTTATAAAGAGTTGGAATTTATTACTAAGAAAACTTTATTCAAATCTTGTTTTTTACCGTTAAACATAGCAAAAGTGTTAAACGTAGCGGAACCAAACTGGGAAGTTTAATTTTACAAATAATTTGGATTCAAAGTAAAGCCAATAGTTCAAGTAAGATATGAGCAAGAATGGAACGGAGAGATCTTCCCTATGTTAATCACACAGTCTGGTTGTAGTATTCATTTTGAGAAACAAAGTGTGTTAGTTTCAAACAAAGTTGAGCTAGGGAAAATAATTCATCAGTTACGATAGAGAAGAAATTCTGGAAAGTCTCGTTTCTAAGCATTTAAATGCACCTTCCACTGGAACATTGGTGAACAAAGACTTTACGTCAAATGAAACTACGATAAAATTTCTAGGAGAAAAATTTATTTGCAGACTTTATTAATTTTTTATGGTGTAAGTGTTATTAACTAGAAAAATCGAAAACAGTTTTCCAAAATCTACTAGTGCTTGTTGCAACTCAACTCTTGCTAAGATCTGATGGCTGAATGACATCATCTCGAACTATGAACTCTCGCTCAGAGATGGTACGAGAACTCGGAACGGAGAAGTTGCACGCTGCGTCGTGCCAAATTTATACCCTTTTTATTATGTAAATATTCTGTAACCCGTTTGCCTCTTCATTAAAATATGTTTGAGTAAAGAATGTATTTATCATTTTATGGATTATTCCCTTCAAAGATTTGCAGATAGAGATGGAAAGAGGAGACCAATTCAACCAGCGGCCCTGGCAGAACACCGTTGGGATGAAGTAAGCAGTTTTGTTTTACCTTGATTAATTAGAAGTGTAAAATAACACTAACGATAGCGTTAAGAAGAAATAAATAATATTGTGGCACTCAACGTGTTGCCACTGGGTTGAATTTGAAATGAAATTTAATAGATTTTGCTTTAAGCAAAAATATGGATTTAGAAAAATTAACAAAGAAGCGATAAGAGCAGTAGTTACGTGGCTGATAAATAAGATAGAAACAGAATTTAGAAAAATTAACAAAGAAGCGATAAGAGCAGTAGTTACGTGGCTGATAAATAAGATAGAAACAGAAATTGCTAATTAATTTCCACACATACATTATAATTAAGAACAATTAATTAACTAACAATAATAATAACAATAACAATAATGTATCAGTATATCTCTGGAGTATAGCAGTTTCAATAACTGTTCTGATTGCTTAGCTGTCTGGAAATTCCATAAACATGGGCTAATAAAAATAAATTCCATAATATTTATTGGTATGTATAAAACGCATATTATATATTTCTTTATTTGTTAATATATTTTATTTGTTTATGTTTACTCAGTTATTTGTATTATTCAATTATGATCGCATAGCTCTTTGATGTTTCAGTTGCAACTTAAATCTGTATAATTAATACTAATTGTTTTATAATTATGCTAAAATTATAACGTCATTATCTTCATCTTTTCCAGTTACGACGTTTGACTAATAGGATTGTCAAAGCATGAAAAAGGATTAATGGTATTTTATCTTCCAATGTGTATAATCTCTGAATAAAGTTATGAATATTTATAACGATTAAAAATATTATTTTTTTTTAAATTTTCTTGTTTCAAAACTTGTGTATGCTTTGAATTTTTTGCTTGGTGCTGTTTTTTTCTGATTTAATTTCGTACTGCTTGGTTTGGAAAATTAATTTATTGTTTACATCTATAAGAATAATAACTAACTTTTGCATTAAAATAATGAAATAAAAACTGTTCAGTTTCTTGTTATGTGGCAATCTATTTACAAATGTTTCGTGATTGTGTCATCGGAATTGGGAATCACATTGGCTCTGAGACATCGTAAATATCCTAAGGAAAAAAGAAAAAATAAGCTATCAAGTCATGAAAAGAGATCGTAAAGTACAGGTCCTGGAACTGAATTTTGACGTAACGAGTATAGACACTGAA